TTCATTTCTAGCTCTTCTGAACATTGTCCTTCGGGAAGTGCTGCCCTTTTCATCTCAAATGGTTGCTTATTTTAAAGCTGAGCACCTCTCTGGTGTTATTGTTTCTCTTCTACTCAATGCCATTGGGTTGCTTCTGACTCAACACGACCCTATAGACAGGGTAGAATGGCCCCTGTGGGTTTCTGAGATGATAGAAAGCCTCATCTATCTCCTAAGCACTGGCTGGTGGTTTTAAATTGCTGGCTTTGCAGTTAGAAGCCCACCACGTAATCCACTACCCCAGCAGGACTCCCTTGTTTCCCTAATAGACCTTACTATGGATTGACTGAAAATTGAACCACGTGGGAGAAGTTCACCTCCAGACCTGAAGGGTGGCTAAGGGCCATTATCTCAAGGATCCCAGCAGCCTCTAGTCAACCAGTATGCCCAGCCTTTCTTAGGATTTTAAGTTTCGCTCCAATGTTTTTCTTCCACTCCACCCAAGACCTTCTACTGTGATCCCTTTCCGAGAAGTTGGTAGGGGTAGGCCGGCATGTGCTTCTGGACTCAGGGGTAGTGGAGGCCGATGTTCACGTGGTCCTTCAGTCTAGTGGACTTGTTTCCTTTGCTCTTCTTGTTTTGAGCAGGGAGAAGCCACGTGTTGTACCCTAGGTGGCTGCTCATAAGCTTTGAAGACCCTCATCAGGACTCACCAGAGGAGGATATAGATCACTGTTTTTGTGGACCGGATGGTGTCAATTGACTTTGGTTTCCCCAGAGACTGTGGTCCTGAACACATAACACTCTGAACCTTGTCTTTTCCACCTAAAACTATATCATTCCCTATCAATGTATACATAGCTACCCCCATTATAATAGAAGCAGTGATGATTCATTGGAAACATTTTTGCTTTCCAGGCAGGGGACCCAGGTTAGATCCCTGGCCAATGCACCCCATGGACAACCACCCCCCACCTGTCCATGGAGGCGAAGGTGTTGCTATGATGCTGGACATAGGTTGCTCCAGACCACTATGGACTCGGAACAAAGACCTGGCAGTCAACTTCCAGAAATCTAGTAAAAACCATCTCGGACCACAATGGTCTGATCGACAGCCAATCCGGGGATGGCACAGGGATGGGGAGTGTGTCATTCTCTGGTAGCTATAAGCCAGTGCCTGACTTATGACAGCTAACCACAAAATCTTATCCTTTTTACC